TTCCCTTCCCTTCCCTTCCCTTCCCTTCCCTTCCCTTCCCTTCCCTTCCCTTCCCTTCCCTTCCCTTTCCTTTCATGACCTTCACTTCCCCTCCCCTTTCTTCCCTTCCCTTTTCTTTCCCCTTGTCTTCCCTCTATTCTGCCCTCTGCATCTTTGCCTCTCTTCTCTTTCTAAGTTCTGTCCCTTCCTTTCGTCTTTCTTCTCTCCCTGAGTTTTTTTCTCCTCTCTTCATACTTCTCTCTTTTCTTTCATTGCTGCTTTTGATAAATTTGTTATTAAATATTCTTAACTAGGCCTAAATGAAATGTAGGCATTTAAGAATTAACTCTAAAACCTGGAACTGAAAAAGTAACTTAATTTTAATACAAAGCCAGTATATAATGATTCAAGGCTCTCAAAATGGTCCTAGTGTCCAATCATATACAGAAAATGTGGATATGTTTCATTATTTAAAATACATTTTAAATCTTTCCAGTATGTGTCTGGGACCATTAAGAAGCATGTTTTGGTATATTACAGTATATTAATATGATTTTATTCCTGAGCCTTTTCTAAGAGTATGGTTATGTTTTGTTTTGACATTTTATTGTCTTGTTAATTTTTGGTTGTTTGTTTTGGTTTTCATTTTCATGTGTTTTCTTTTGAGAGAGAGCAGAAAGTTGGATGGAAAGTTGGGGAGGTTATGAGTTGAAGGAGGGGGAAACATAATCAAAACATAGTGTATGAAAAAACTTTTAAAGAAAAATTGCAATGTATTTATCAAAAGTGAAATATTCTATATAACATATGAAATTATATAAGTGAAAATTATAAAAGGAATGTATGGGATGCTTTGAAGACAAAATTATAAAAGGCATAAAGTGTTTGGGATGGTAATGGCACAGGCAGACATGCATACTAATAAGAATCCACATTAGCAAAGCTATTTAATATTTGACAAAGATTCCAAAACACATAATGGAGAAAAGACAGCATCTTCAATAAATAATACTGGTACATCTGCATGTGAACACATAGAGAAAAACATTATCTATCAGACTGCACAGAAATATTAACTCCAAATGGATCAGACACTCCGTGTGAACCCTGAAGTGCTGCACTGCTAGAAGACAGTGTGGGCAGTCCTGATGGCATCGTGTGGGAAAGGACATTCTGAGTGAGACACCTGCTACCTAGAAATTAACATCAACAATTGTAAAATGGCATTTCAAAAAACTAAAAAGCTCCAGAGCTGCCAGGAAAACTCTCAGCTGCATGAAGAGGAAGTCCTTAGAGGGAGACTCTTTGCCAGCTATATATTGGGTAAAAGGTTAATACATAGAATATAAAAAAAACTTGGAAGCAAAAATTTAAAGAAATAAATGACAAAATTAAAATTAATTTAAAAACAGAGGCTGCAGAGATGGCTCAGCACTTATGAGCGCTGGCTACTCTTCCAGAGGATCCAGGTTCAATTCCCAGCATCCACATGACAGCTCAAAACTATGAAGGGTCCCTGGCACCTTCATAAAAACATGAATACTAATGAACAAAACACTAATGTACATATATTAAAAAATGAAAAGAAGTACAGTTCATAAGGTACACAAATTAACTATGAGGGTGCTCAACATCAAATGCTAAATCTACAACACTACCCTATACCTCAGGCTCAGGGAACATCATCTACAAGTGGGCAGATGCTAAAGGAACTCAGCAGCCTGCAAACACACACACACACACACACACACACACACACACACTCACACGATTTTAATCATTTTTCTCCTCTTCATTTAGGCTTCTACTGCTGAACTTCTGGGAATCAATCATCTCATGAGCACAATACAATTGTTTAGTAGATTTCTAGAAGTCCCAGCTACTTCTGATGAAAATGTCACTGTAATAGACACAGCTTTCAGCAGTGTTCCTGTTCGCATATACATGCCCAAAAGGAAGTCAGAGACGCTAAGGAGGGGCCTGTTTTATATTCACGGTGGTGGCTGGTGTTTGGGGAGTGCAGGTATGTCCCTTTCCTTCAGTATTCTTGTTTGTTCCACAAACTGTGAAATACTCATCCATATTAAAAACTTACATACATTAGTTATAGTAATATAATAGATATAATAATGCTTCAATTGTTTGAAATCATTCTTTTCTGAAATGGGTATTCCTTACTACTAAGAACTGTAGACAATCTCAGGTAAGAAGAGAAAGGGCTTCTTGAATATATGGTTTTATTATTGTGGAATTGATGGAATGGTGTAGTGAGAACCAAATTGAGGGTGAACTGAACAGTGGCAAAATAGCAGCAAACTGAGATGCTGACTGTGGTCTTTTAAAAAGCGTTAATCTGAAGGAAGTGAGAACAAAGGTGTTAGTTATAAAAATCACACAGTTGAACTACTATTTTTATTTGACATTGTATATTTCATTTGTTATATGTAGATTGTATAATATATTTTCCTACATGCAATTATATTTATTATAATTTTGCTTCACTGAATGTTAACGTATTACATATAACTAATATAGCCAATATATCTTACATATTTTATAATATACATGTTTCATAATAGCATAAGTAGAGTATAACATTTTTACATCTTGATTTTAAGATAGAGGGATTTGAGGTGTTCTGGAATTTGAGTGGAGACTTGAGGAAAGGAATAAGTTCATTTGACCTTGACAACATGGGAGGTAATTGCGATTTTCCTTCTTCAGGGATCCACTGGTCCAAGAGGGTAGGAGAAGCAGGTCTTTGCAGAGTTTGGGGGCGGTCAGCTGACATTAGTTTTAACCACAATTGATTCATCTACACAGAAACAACATTCTTCCCCGATATCAAGCAAGTCCCCCCATAGTCAGCAGTTATTGGATCCAGACCTAGCAAAGATTGGGCAATAGGGCACTTATCAGAAGTATCTAATTATCTGCTCCAGGTGAAGGGACAACGAGCATTCATATCAGCTGGACTGGTGCATAGCAACCTCAGCAAGTCCGCAGCTCAGTAGCTTATAATAGGGGGATAAACATGTATACTTTCAACACTTAACATTTGCTAAATGCAAAAAGATATGGACATTCAATAAACTAGCAGTGGTTTAGACTAGGCAGTGTGAAGCTAATAGAGCAAACCCTTGACTGTGTCTATGCGAAAATGGCCGAGGATTCATTTTGTACATTGATGATGAAGTGCTGCAATCAGTAGAAGCAGTTGTAAACTATCTGTGAGGAGCAATGCTCACTGCTGTGCTTTTGATGACATGCTGTTCCAGCAGTTCACTTGTCAGTCTCTCACTCAATTTTCTCAATTTCAGCTACTTCTATATATGATCTTCTGGCAAGAAAGACAGCTGATAGACTCGATGCTATTGTCGTGTCAACTGAGTAAGACTATGGTTTGCTTCTTCAATGTTTAGTCGTGTGTTTTGTGTAGCAAGAAACTAACACACTTGATCATATTTTATTCTTTGGGGGTTATTACTGGAACATTTTAACTGAAATTAAGAGAGTGAGCAAAGAGAAAGTGAACTCGAGTTGGCAAGAATAGACTCAGAGAAAACAAACAAAAAGCAAAACAAAACACTTAAAATCAACCAGGATTGAAAAGACAAAGTTCAGAAATCATTAGAACACAATAACACCGGTACATAACACGTAACAATGACCTTCAGCAGACCGAGTACTTAGAGAATCACAGGCAAATAAGGTTTGAAACTTTGTCTTGAAACTTTGTACATGTTATAGATTACTAATTCAGTTTAGTTTATTTGTGTGTGAACTGAGAAACATATATTTTCTACACAATGTGCTCTTTCTGAGGATGTCATGGCAAACAGCACTTTAAGGGGTTAAGGGGAATATGCCATGGCAAAATCATCACTGAAAGCAATTTGTCCTGAAGCTACAGGTGGAAAGAGGCAAATCACATACTATGGAATAAATGATAAGAAATCAATTTGGTAGAAACAAATTGAATAACTAAGTAATTAATAAAACATAGTGGTCACATTCTGCTTTTAAATTAGGTAAAGTTCAAACATTAAATTAGTAAGATTTATTTGTCACTGACTAATTTCCAATGAAATTAAATGTAAATAGAAAATGCTGGGAAATGAATTAGGAAATGTATTACCTGCTGTATTTTTCATTCTTTTATTTTTGCCTCGAGGAGAATTCAATTGTTTTATTCAAGTTTTTATTAGTATAATGATGAAATCACCCAAGATTTTGGGGTGAAATATGTCCATGGGTATATAGTTAGCAAAAAGATGTGTTTATTAAAGAAAAATTGGCCTTTATTTTAGAGAGATGCCATATAAAATTAATTTAATTCATTTGATACAATTATTCCTCGCACAGCTATGGCTTGGCCCCCAAATATCATTTCCCACGTCAGTTTGAAGATGTATACAATGCCTTGCGATGGTTCTTACAGGAAGACGTTCTTGAAAGATACGGCGTAGATCCTCGAAGAGTTGGTGTAGCTGGGGACAGTGCTGGTGGGAACTTAGCAGCAGCTGTGACCCAACAGGTTTGTTTGAGATCTTAAAACACCGTATATGTAAATATATTTGCTACAGACATTTGAAAGATCAGTGAAAACATGCTATTTTCTTACCATGTTAAAATACTAGAGAAACACCTGTACTGATGTTAGGAAACATTTTTCTATATAGTGTTTCTAAGTTTGCTCTATGTCATTCTTTTCTTTTATATATATACATATAATGACAAAATACAACTTCTGGGGTTTTGGTTGAATATGATTATTATGGCCAGTTAGGTAACATCCTGTACCTATTGTGTGTTGCACTAGTAAAGTTGGTCAATGACACTAGTCACCAAAATTGAGAACAAGATAACTGCAATATTACCAGTTGTAGGATGCCAGAACTGATTTCATATCTGTTGATAATGGAATAATGAAATCATTCCAAAGGAAAAATGTTAGTAAAGAGAGCTGTTAATGTAATTCATCAGTTTATAGCTACATTTTGCTTGAGAGATGATTGATGATTTTCAGATCTGAGTTGCTCATAAACTTTTAGGATAGTTAGCTACTATGAGTACATTTTGTTGCCTCGCACTGCTACATTTGCTACCTTCTTCATTTGCATAGAAAAGAAGCTACAAATTCTGTGATTCATTCCAATATCTGTAAAACAAGTGTAGAATATATTCCACAGATTTAATTCTGCATTGCATATGCCTCATTGCTCTGAAAGGCATCCAGGTACAACATGAGGTACACATAAAGAGGTAAGAAGTTTTGAAACTATAGCAGTACCCAATTATCGATTTGTCCCTTTATCCTAATTGCTTTAGGCATGTATTTGTTTTCCTTGTTGCTTTTTTTTTATAAATTCCAACTTCTGTCATTTTTAGAGATTTCTGACTCATAGCTATTTAATATCAATATAAAATACTTTTAATATGGTATAGACTGTCACAGACTAAAAAGAAGCAGACCATTAGTAGACCTGAAATATTTTTAAGACAAAAACACTCCATGCAGTAAACCCTAACTTCATTGTCTTGTCTTTGGTAACAGGCACTACTTAAAGGACACTTTTTCCTGAGATGAGTGTTGGTACCCAACTCAGGGCTACAACTGTGATGTTAAATAGAAGAACCTCCCCTTGTTCATTCTCCTAAATGGGACATGCATAAACCACCCCTTCTCTAGTATGTTGAGATGATTGAGTCTCAGTGTCAGAGCAAAACTATGTTCATAACAGTTAGAGACTTGTTTGTCATCATCTTCCTTGAGTTTTGGCTAGTTAACATGTTTAATAATACATGACTTGCTAAAATTATAGAAGTACTTTCTGGAGTAATATGCCATAGCATTTTCTTGGTATTTATTGAAATTGAATCATGTGCATTGTGTAAAATATTTCTACATGATGTCAATAATTGCATTAAGGAATAGAAAATGACAATCTAGAAAATTGGAAATTCTGTGAGATATTTTTGTTGTGTTTGATTATCTGAATTTATTTCATCTATACATATTATTTCTAGATGAAAATAGACCTCTTAAAAATTTATTACAAAATAATTTTAATTCTTTTTCAGCTCATACAGGATCCAGACGTCAAGACGAAACTCAAGGTTCAGGCCTTAGTATATCCAGCCCTTCAGGCTCTTGATATAAATTTACCATCGTATCAAGAAGGTTCATATTTTCCAATGTTATCCCCCTCATTTATGGCCAGGTTTTGGAGTGAATACTTTACTACAGATCGAACCCTGGAGAAAGCCATGCTTCTCAAGCAACATGTACCTCTGGAATCCATTCATCTGTTCCAATTTGTGAACTGGAGTTCCTTACTCCCTGAGAGATATAAGAAAGGTCACATCTATAAGATTCCAACTCCTGGTAGTTATGAACTGTCTAAAAAGTACCCAGGGTTCCTAGATGTGAAGGCATGCCCTCTGTTGGCCAACGACAACACTTTGAGTCTCTTACCTCTGACCTATATCATCACTTGTCAGTATGATGTCCTAAGAGATGATGGACTCATGTATGTCACACGGCTTCAGAATGTTGGAGTTCATGTGACGCATCACCACATTGAGGATGGATTCCATGGAGCATTTACCCTTCATGATTTTAAAATTGCACACAGGATGCAAAATCAGTACTTGAATTGGCTTATGAAAAATCTATAGCAAAACCTACTTAATGATTTGATGATGATACATAAATAACAAAAAAGAAATAAACTAGGAAAAACTGTGATTTTGAGGTTTCATATCCTGTTTAAAACCTCTGTTGTTCCTAAGGAGTTGGTAGCTTCTGAGTTTTGTTACTGTTATTTCTTATTAACAGACATCTTTCTATTTTATCCCTCCTCCTGTATTTACCTACAGAAACACACCTCCAAACCAGGGTTTTATGTAGGTGCTGACAATCCAAATACATGTACTCATGCTTGTGAAGCACGTGCTTTACCAACTGAGCCTTGTGTCCAGGTCCAAATTCCTTAACAATTCTAGAGTGCACTTTCACTATCCATTATTATTACACATGCAAGGAAATTTTGGCTTAACGAAGTGAAACAATAACATATGTTCTAAATCTAGATATCAATTGTAGGAATGATACTCAAGTCCATGTAATGGCAACAACAATGGTTTTAGATTTGGAAACTAAACTTCATTTTACACTTATCATTAAAGTTAAATTTGATCATATTTGCCCTATGTTCTTGATGTATACTTTAAGCTAGGCTTCAAAGTAAAGCATAATTTATATAGTTTCTGAAGTATCATGCTACCCAATGCTTCCTTTAATGTTGATAACATTTTATCAGTTCATTATTACTGAGAAGAATTTCACCTTTTTAGTTCAAAATCCATGTGCTTATAACAAATGTGCTTATTTAATACTGTTCTACCTTTACATTTCCAGGACAATGAGGTTTTGCATACAGCACTCTGTTCACAGAACCTTGGAAGTAGATCCATAAAGTAGTAACATTAATTTCTGAATTCTCTAGTTTCTCTTCCCACTGATCCAATGAAAATGCTCTGATTGTGTGTTTAAGTTCAATATATTTTACTAATTTCTTTTCTGTTTGTATGAGCTTGCATGCATATCTATTTCCTGCTCCAGTAAAATGGATGCAATTATGCCTGAGTAATAGGATTAGGTAACAAATGAATTAATTCAAATTTTCAATGGAAAATTATTGTATAATACATAAAGAAGTATAGAAGTATATTTCAGGTAAGAAGGTTCCTGGATCCTGGGACCCAAATCTGCATTTCTCAGCTCTCTTAGCTCCAAGGATGGCTAATCTCAAGTCCACAGACCTCTAATTCCTCACCCACACTTTTATACAATTAGTTAGATTCAGATGTGTAATCCGAGCCCTGAAACAGAAACAACATGAAAACTCTGAAGACCATCTGTCCTCCAAAAATTACTAAACCCAGAATAAGCAGCCTGATCAATATGACCTAGAAAAATAATCAGGCAAATAAGTGAAAAAATGATTGTAACTATGTACAAACAGCTCAAGAGCAGTTGGAGTATACCCCCAAAATAACAAAAACAAAATACTGAAATAAACAAGGAAGTCAATCCAAGATGCAAAATTACTACACGTCAAAAAGAGAAGTACTACAGAAAACCCAACTGGAAGGATGGTGGAAATGAAAAACTTAGTGAACCAAATACAAACATCAGTAGGAAGCTTCATGGTGTAGGAGGTCATTCTCTCTTTGTGTTGCTTCCATTGGTTAATAAAGAAACTACTTGGAGCTTGTTGATAGGGCAGAAATTAGGTAGACAAAGAAAACAAAACTGAATGCTGGGATAAAGAAGGGCAGAGTCATAAAGACACCATGGATTCACCACCGGAGATAGACTTGCTTTGCCAGTAAGCCACTGATACATGCTGATATACAGATTAATAGAAATGGGTTAAATTAAGATGTAAGACTTAGCCAATAATAAGCTGGGGTTAATGGACCAGGCAGTGATTTAAGGAATACAATTTCTGCGTGGTTATGAAAGATTCCTTAAAGAATGCTATGCTAATCTTTACAGATGGTACTTCCCGTGGAAGAGCAGCATATATTGTTGATAATAAGGGACATGTAGTGCAAAAAGAACTGGGCTCAGCTCAAATTGTTGAGCTACTAGCTGTTGCTGTGGTATTCCTGCTTTCTGCAAATAATGCGTTTACTTTATATACTGACACTCATTGTATTTTTAAAGATCTTCAGATCTTGGAAACTGTTCCATACACTAGGGCTAGTAGTAAGGAGGTTAAAATGCAGTTCCAGTAAAATCAAGATGCCCTTCGCCAAAGGAAATTGCCATGCTTTGTGGGTAATATTAAAACACATCCAAATCTTCCTGGTTCATTGGCTGAAGGTAATTCTCTAGCTGATAAGTTTACAAAGTTGATTGCTTTATTTCAAGTTAGCTTGCTCGACAATCACATGCTTTACATCATCAAAATATTAAAATTTAAGGAAACAATTTGGATTAACATGTGAAATTATTCACTAGATTGTTAAGCAATATGATATATGCCCACAACATTTACCTGTACCTTACCTGGGAGTAAATCCTTGATGTCTGCTTCATAACCATTTATGGCAAATTGCTGTAGGAAGTATTACAGCTTCTATTCGTCTGCCTAATGGGGCATAGGCTCTCTTACTATTTAAGGAGAAGCAGAGCGTGGGTGCGCCCCTTTGCTGTGATTGCCCTGGCTCTGTACCCGGTCGGCTACTCCTTAGGGTCATGTGATTCAACTGATCAAGCAGAGAACTCTGATTTATGAGCTTACCCTTTAATAAATGCCTATTTCTTATTTCTTAGATAGCGTGGGATTTCTTTTATGCGTCTGACCACTTTAACTCACAAAAGACCTAGTACAGTAAATCATATCGCAGAGTTTGGCATGTTAAGATATGTACATGTAACAATCGATACATATTCAGGTTTCTTAGTGGCCTCTGCACAAACTAGAGAAGCCCCTAAGCATGTAATAACTCATTGCTTATAGTGTTTTTTTATATATGGGAATTCCTAAAATTGTAAAAACAGGCAATGGTCTGTATATGTTAATAAAGCATTTCAGCAATTTGATCCCAATGGAATACCAAATATAAAACAGGAATTCCTTATAATTCTTAAGGAAAAGGAATTGTGGAGTGTGCCCAAGGCTCCTTGAAAACACAGCTTCAAAAGATAAAAAAAAGTGAGAATTACACCCCCAGTTGCTACACAATGCCTGAAATAACACCCCTTACCTAAATTTCTTGAATATGGATGCCCATCAACAATCTGCCATGGACAGATCTTGGCATGACAGTACCAAGGCGACCTTTGCTAAAGCAAGGTAGAAAGACCCTTGCACTGGATTATGGAAAAGACACTGTTTTGTATCAATATCAGGTTGAGGGCATGTCTGTGTATTTCCACAGAAAGAGGCTAAAGCAAAATGGCTTCTGGAACGTCCAGTCTGATATATACATCAGAGAATAAGCAAGCCCTAACGATATTGTGGTCACTGATGGCCCACAGAAGAGCTGCAGTGAGAATCCTGAACCTATGTTCCTGACTTAGTTCAAAATGCAGCCGTCAGAGAAAGGATCGTGGAGATTCCCAGTTTCTTATTGAACCTACTGCACAAATTCCTAGACCTTACTGAGTTCTGTTTACTTTGAAGCTGGTCCAAGAATGCTGACTGAATGTTTGACAGTTTATCCATACTATGTCTTGAGACACAGAATCATTTTTGCCAGTTTGGCATTCAATTGGCTGTTGAAATATAGACCTGAGAACTGAGACCTCAGATTTTCCCTCTGCGGAAAAAAAAAAAAGGCTCATCACAAAGGGTGACTGAAGTCCCTCTTCAAAGATAGCATAAAAGTTTTTGCTGCTGCTCAGGGACTGGTACAGTTCAGATTTATCTTTGAAACTTAAAAGTACCAAAGCAGTTGGACTATAGGAAAGAAAAAAAGACTCATAGCTCACCTATCACCAAACCTTTTCTTGTCTTTTGGTTAGAACAGATTTAAGAGAATTATGATTTGACAAATTATATATTTCTTGCTAATTTCTATGTTAGAATTATGGCATTGACCTGTTAATGTTTGTTACTGCTTTAGTTCATTATGAAGATGCTATTGATTAGAAAAAGATTAGAGCTTGTCTGAGGCAAATTGGACATGGTAGGTCCTTAGATTTGATATGTTTAATAAGACAAATTTGGATTCCATTTGTAGCTGAAAACTGTTAAAGATATCCTACACCATTTCCAACAGGCAGTCCCTCCTCTGGTCATCCTCCACTCCTTTATTAGAAGATGTTGTAGATATGGGAGTATATGTATCACAATGAACTGTCTGCTTGCATATGATTAACTCTCGACGGAAAATTGACTCAAAGGTGCACAGAGCCGAGATGCCTTCTCCTTTAACCTGTCATTCATAGAGGCTGGTAGTCAGAGATAGGCAAGATTTTAGCCTCCCCCCACCCCACAATCTAAGACAGGACAGACAGGACAAATGGATATAATGATGACAGGTAAGTCTGGAAAATGGGAAAAAAGTCCCCAAGCTAGGCACAGTCATCTGTACTGTAGCAGAAGCACAGGCTTTATTAACTAAGATAAAAGGGAGGAATTGTGAGGACCCACAGATGTGAGCCTGTTCCACCTTGACCGGAGGTCAGAGAGTCTGAACTTACTTTTGCTCTTTCAAAGTTGTTGACGACAGGTGTGATCACAAACAAGAGATTCTGACCTATGGTGTGGTTAATTAGTGTTTTGGTTATAGAGGTGGATCTGCTCCACCCTGACCAAAGGTCGTAGAATTCAGTTTTATTCCTTATATGATGCTAATAAAATCTGTTGCCTCCCTGTCCTTTTTTGGAGTGAAGTATATAAGCATGCTAAACATAAAGTCAGATGGATTCAGTATCCACTGAATTTCCCTACCAATGCTGTTCTCTTTCTGTCTCTTATTTCTCTCATATCTCTGATTCTTTTGCTTAATCATTCTAATCCTCAAGTCTCATGCTCCTACCCTGGAATGTACAAATTTCATCAAGGCTGCTCTCTGATAGGCTACATCTGTCTACTGACAGAGGAGTTGAGCACTAATTCCCATCTCCAGCCAAAGAGCTATTGACAATTAATTAATCACAGCTGGGAGAGGGAGGGTCAATTTCTTCTTCTAAGCATGTAGCCATTTATAAATCACCATGCTCCAGTA